GATATGTCCTATACCTAAGGAACTTAAGTATTTGAATATAAAGGTTAGTAATATATGCTTTAAGAATTTATGGATAGATAAAAAATCAGAAGAGAAGACTATATAGTAAACTTAAAAGAGGCTGTTGAATTTAAATAACTTTTTTGTAAACTTAATCCAAAATTAAGAATTAAAGAACCTTTAGTCGTTTCAAAATGTCCTTAAAAAAATATAGTTGATTTTTAATCATTTTATGATGAATTAAAGAAAATTGATTTTGATATTGAAAATATAGGATTAACTTTATGTAAATGTCAGAGTTGTAACTCAAATCCTATTAAGACTATAACAGGAAACATTCATTTTCATGAACCATTTTATGAGGCTCTGAATAAGTTTTATAAAATAGATAATTAAACAAAATTAGAAAAATTTACATATAAATTTGAGAAAACAGAGGAAGAGAGTTATGTTGTCAGAGAATTAATATAGATTAATAATCCAAAAATTAAAATTCTATAATAGCCCACATAAATGGATGGACAAAATCTGATAAATGTAAAAGGAAATGAAGGATTTGTAGATTTAATGAATGATGAGGAATATTAAAAGTTCTTTGGTGCTACATAAATTTAAGGTTTTGCTTATAAAGCTTAAGGTATGTAATAACATATTGGGGTTTTATAAATTGAGTATGGCAAAGAAGGTATTCGTGCGAATGTTGAAGAAGCAGTTGAGAAATTGAATCAAAATGCTAATAGTTAATTAAAATAATTTCATTTTAATGTAGTTGGTATGCAAGTTTAACTAAAAAACGATGTTTTTAATTAAAACAAAGGGGAGTTCAAATTTTAAAAATGAGAATCTATTAATGCATTTATCAAAAATTATGGGATATTTAAAATTTTTATGATAATTCAAACTGATTCGATAATTTATTATTAAATTTAGTTTCCTTTCTAAGTCTGATTTTTTATGATTTAAAAGAGGTGGATTTTCTCAATAATATATTCACAATTGTTTTAATTTAAATCAAATTAAATAAACATAATTTTTGAAGTTAATATATATTAGTTTTCAAGCAAAAGTTTTTGTTAAATCTTTATTTTCATCCTTTTTCAGTTTTTCTAAAATCATAGTTAATTTTAGGAATATATTTATAATATTTTTTCTAAACTAACAAATTATAAAATCAGAATGGAATTAACTCATAAGGAAAACTAAAATAGTAGTTATCAAAACGTTTAAAGAACCTTTGAGGTCTCAAACTTTAAATATTTTTTGTATAAAAAGAAATTTGAATTTAATTTCTATTATTATTACTAAGAATTTAAAAAGCTAATTTGAGTGATCTTGAATTACTTTGATTTAATGACAAAAACAAACCTTTTTATTAATTAACTTAAATAATCCAATTTTCAATTTTATTTACACTTAAGTTTAGGTTCAGTATTTCAGTAATTAAAAAATTTGTATTGGAATAAATAGCTGTTGTAATAATAAAACTAAAAGCCCAAAAATTTACTGCTAGTTATCAAATTTATAATGAATCAACTATTCTGATGGTATTTATTATGAGTTGTTTGAAATCCTTAATTAAAAAATAGAAAGCATTTACCTTCCAATATATAAATTTAAATTGATTATTATGATAATAATATTTGCAAGCTTGATGCTTCGAATCATAATTCCTTTGCATAACTTGAAGTTAATACTTGAAATATAAGTTTCTTCTCCCCAATATGTAAATTCTTTTTTTTGATTTATTATTATACAACAGGTAATCCATCACTAAATTTTATTAAAACCTTATCTCCAAGTTATTATTAATAATATAATTGTTCATTTTAAAATTAATATCATTAGACAATACTTAATTTTTATTTGCAAAAGAATATATTCTAAAAACCCTCAAATTATTAAGATCAATAAATTAATCTTATATTTAAGGATCTAAATATTCTACAAATTACTGTTTTTCATCATGATCAAATTTAATAAAACCATCAGCAAATTATTATGTTTTTCTTATTCGATTGATTAATGAATTCAAAACATTTCAAAATATAAAGTCTTAAAATTAACCGATTTCTGACTTTTTTCACTTTAAAACTATTGCATCATGAGGATTTGAGCAAATATTGTAATGAGCAATATAAAAAATAATTAAATAATTAAATAACGAAATAAAATAGAAAAAAATGATCACGGCCAGTCTCGAACTGGCGGCCTCGTCCTTGTTAGGGACGCGTGATAACCCCTACACCACGCGATCATATATAACTATAATAACAGATTTCTATAGATTAATATTCATAATAATTAACCATATTCTTTTTGTTTCATTTTATTTTTTGTAACTAAAGTCAAATAAATCTTATAACAACAGTCTTTAGTAGAATTAATATGTTTATATTTATTTCTAATTCAAATAATAGCTAAAGCTGTTTTCAAATAGTATTTAAAAGAATTCATAAAAAGAGTGATTTATTTGAAAGATTGAATATAATCATATTCTTTAAAAGATTTTTAGTTGAAATTTAATTGAAACTTTTATAAGTTAAACGAAATCATTTAATTTTATTATTTGAACAATTCTCCTTTAAGAATTTGGCTAATAAAAATGAATGAGCTTAATAAATACTAATTTCAACTGTTTAACGTTTGTTAAAAAATAGGAATAGAATGATTTTTAAAATGAAAAGAGGGATTAAAGAAAGAATAAGTGCAAATTTATTCAATTTTGAATTAATCAATTATAGGAAATCTATCAAATACTATCATTCTCTATTACATGATGTCCCAATCAAATATCTCTAAATTTTAACAACTTATTGCCAAATAAGGCAGATTTATTATTTTAATAACAATAAAAGTGACAAATCCATTTTATATATTGGCTTAGAAATAAAAAAAGATAAATTTAATCGGCACTTAAAGCCCTATCAACGCTAGGCTAATTGAGAAGATCTATCTTTTAGGGAATTCAGGTAATTACAATTAGAGTTAAAGTTGATTTATTTACTGAGTATTCATTCATGAAAGTCTTTTAATTCAGAATATCTGTTTGCTGTTGTTTTAGTATCAGAAGGATTTGATACATGGTAACAATTTTGATAATGAACTTTTTCATTTTTGATGAGATTATTAATTTTGACAGAGTAATCATTTTTTGTTAGTGTGGATTGAATGGAAATAAATTAATTGGTAAAATAATAAATAGTAAATATTTAACTCAATATATTACTTGAATTAATTAATGGATTTATTTGGTGTTTTTGAAACAAAGGCAAATTTAGATAGTAATAAATCGGAGAATCATGTGGATGAAGAAGTGTCAATGAACGTAGAAGCAGAGAAAAAAGTAGAGACTTTTAAGGTAATNAATGAATTCAAAACATTTCAAAATATAAAGTCTTAAAATTAACCGATTTCTGACTTTTTTCACTTTAAAACTATTGCATCATGAGGATTTGAGCAAATATTGTAATGAGCAATATAAAAAATAATTAAATAATTAAATAACGAAATAAAATAGAAAAAAATGATCACGGCCAGTCTCGAACTGGCGGCCTCGTCCTTGTTAGGGACGCGTGATAACCCCTACACCACGCGATCATATATAACTATAATAACAGATTTCTATAGATTAATATTCATAATAATTAACCATATTCTTTTTGTTTCATTTTATTTTTTGTAACTAAAGTCAAATAAATCTTATAACAACAGTCTTTAGTAGAATTAATATGTTTATATTTATTTCTAATTCAAATAATAGCTAAAGCTGTTTTCAAATAGTATTTAAAAGAATTCATAAAAAGAGTGATTTATTTGAAAGATTGAATATAATCATATTCTTTAAAAGATTTTTAGTTGAAATTTAATTGAAACTTTTATAAGTTAAACGAAATCATTTAATTTTATTATTTGAACAATTCTCCTTTAAGAATTTGGCTAATAAAAATGAATGAGCTTAATAAATACTAATTTCAACTGTTTAACGTTTGTTAAAAAATAGGAATAGAATGATTTTTAAAATGAAAAGAGGGATTAAAGAAAGAATAAGTGCAAATTTATTCAATTTTGAATTAATCAATTATAGGAAATCTATCAAATACTATCATTCTCTATTACATGATGTCCCAATCAAATATCTCTAAATTTTAACAACTTATTGCCAAATAAGGCAGATTTATTATTTTAATAACAATAAAAGTGACAAATCCATTTTATATATTGGCTTAGAAATAAAAAAAGATAAATTTAATCGGCACTTAAAGCCCTATCAACGCTAGGCTAATTGAGAAGATCTATCTTTTAGGGAATTCAGGTAATTACAATTAGAGTTAAAGTTGATTTATTTACTGAGTATTCATTCATGAAAGTCTTTTAATTCAGAATATCTGTTTGCTGTTGTTTTAGTATCAGAAGGATTTGATACATGGTAACAATTTTGATAATGAACTTTTTCATTTTTGATGAGATTATTAATTTTGACAGAGTAATCATTTTTTGTTAGTGTGGATTGAATGGAAATAAATTAATTGGTAAAATAATAAATAGTAAATATTTAACTCAATATATTACTTGAATTAATTAATGGATTTATTTGGTGTTTTTGAAACAAAGGCAAATTTAGATAGTAATAAATCGGAGAATCATGTGGATGAAGAAGTGTCAATGAACGTAGAAGCAGAGAAAAAAGTAGAGACTTTTAAGGTAATAAAAAATCAAGAGAATGAAGGATGTATTCATGAATGGTACACTCCTGAAGATTACAAGGCTATTTAAGAAAAGAAGCAGAATGCAAAATAATACAAGTTTACTTTGGATCCATTTCAAAAAGTAGCTGTAAAAACTTTGGAGGCTAATGAATCAGTTTTAGTAGCGGCTCATACAAGTGCAGGAAAAACAGCAGTAGCGGAGTATGCTATAGCTATGGCTAAGAGGGATAAACAAAGAGTTGTGTATACATCTCCAATCAAGGCTTTATCAAATTAGAAATATAGAGAATTGTAGTAAGAGTTTGGAGATGTCGGATTAGTTACAGGAGATGTAACTTTGAATGAAAATGCTTTTTGTTTAGTAATGACTACAGAAATTTTAAGGAGTATGTTATATAGAGGATCAGAAATTGTAAGAGAAGTAGCATGGGTTATTATGGATGAAGTACATTATATGAGAGATAGAGAAAGAGGAGTTGTTTGGGAAGAAACTATAATCTTGTTAAATTAGAATGTAATAATAAATTTATATTATTTAAAGGTTCGTTTCGTCTTTTTATCTGCAACAATCCCAAATGCTAGTGAATTTGCTGAGTGGGTTTGTAGAATAAAACATTAACCTTGTCATGTAGTTTATACTGATTATCGACCAACACCTTTATAACATTATTTATTTCCAAGCGGTGCTGAGGGAATATTTTTGGTAGTTGATGAAACAGGAAAATTTAAAGAAGATAAATTTTAAGAGGCTGTGGCTAAATTGGAAGAGAATGTAGAAAATACAAGGAAGAGAAAAGCAAGTGAAGGATCAGATCTATTTAAATTAATGAAGATGATATAAGAGAGAGAATTGGCACCAGCAATAGTATTTTCTTTTTCAAAAAGAGAAGTGGAAGGATATGCAATAGGAATGTAGAAATTAGATTTAACAAATCCAAAGGAGAAAGAGAATATTGAAACAATATATAAGAATGCAATGAATTGTTTATCAGAAGAAGATAGATAATTACCATAGATATAATTGATGCTTCCAATTTTAAAGAAAGGAATAGGAATACATCATGGTGGATTATTACCAATAGTGAAAGAAATAATAGAAATTTTATTTTAAGAAGGATATTTAAAAGCATTATTTTCAACAGAAACATTTTCAATGGGATTAAATATGCCATCAAGGACAGTAGTATTTACTTCAGTTAGAAAATTTGATGGTGAATAATTTAGGTGGATTTAAGGAGGAGAATATATATAAATGAGTGGTAGAGCTGGTAGAAGAGGTATTGATGATAAAGGAGTTTGTATTTTAATGTGTGATGAGAAAATGGATTAAGAAGTAGCTAAATCAATGTTAAAGGGAAAATCAGATTGTTTAAATTCTTCATTTAGATTATCATATAATATGTTAATTAATTCAATGAGAATGGAAGATACTGATCCAGAATTTATTATTAAAAAATCTTTTCATTAATTTTAAAATGATAGATAATTACCTGAAATGAAAGAAAAGTTATAAGATTATAAATAAAAAAGAGATTAAATAGATATAAAAAATGAAGAAAAATTAGCAAATTATCATGACTTACTTCAATAATCAACACATGTCTATAATAAGATTAGAAAGATCATATATTAACCTCAAATTGTATTACCATTTCTACATATTGGAAGAATTATCAAAGTCAAAGGATCTGATGGAGATTGGGGATGGGGAATAGCAATCAATTTTATGTAGAAGAAATTTGGAAATAAAAAAAATAAAGATTAAGAATAATCTATAATTTTAGATGTAATGTTGTATGTTTAAAAAAGAAAGAAGGTATATAAATATTTAATTAATTATAGAATGAACCACTCTAAGCTTAATTATAATATGAATAAGACGGAGAATTAGAAATTGTGCCTGTTTCTATTGAATAATTATATGAAATCAGCACTATTAAATTAAATCTACCTAAAGATCTTAGAACTAATGAAAGCAAATAATAAATCAGATAGACTATGATTAAATTAATCAAAGAATTTAAAGGAAATCTTCCTCTTATTCATCCAATCAATGATATGAAAATTAATAATGATTCACTTGATAATTTGTTAGAATAGAGATAATCATTACTAGAATAAATTGAAGAAAATAAAAAAGAACTAAATAATGAAAATCTTGATAAGGAATTATAAATATATGATGAAAAAATTAAGCTTAGTCAAACTATAAAATTACTAAATAAATAAATCGAAGAAAGTTCTCAGATGGTATTAAGTGGAGATCTAAAACGAATGAAAAGAATCTTAAGAAGATTATAATACATATCAAAAGATGAGATTGTTTAAATGAAAGGTAAAGTAGCCTGTGAAATTTCAGCAGGAGATGAAATTATGGTAATTAATTTATTTTTAATTTTTATTAGTTAACTGAATTATTAGTTAGTGGACTCTTTAATGATTTATCTTCTGAAGAAATTTGTGCTGTTTTAAGCGTCTTTGTCCATGATGAAAATAATAATGAAAAGTTCCAGTTAAAAAATGATAAAATGTAATAACTCTATACTAAAGTACTTGAACATGCTAAATATCTTTATTCAGTTTATACAGAATCTAAAATGAACATTGATGAAGTAATATTTACTTATATCATATTTTTCTAGAAAGAATATTTAGCTACATTCAAGAGTTAAATGATGGAAGTGACTTTAGCTTGGTGTTAGGGATAATCTTTTCTTTAGATTTGTAAAATGACTGATCTATTTGAAGGATCAATTATTAGATGTCTCAGAAGATTAGATGAATTGATAAAATAAATGGAAGAAGCTGCAAAAGTTATTGGAAATAAAGAATTGCAGAATAAATTTAAAGAAAGTTCTAAGAAACTTAAAAAAGGTATTGTTTTTGCCGCATCTTTATATTTGTGATTATGTATTTATTGAATTATTATTAATCTATGAGTGATAAAAATTGTTTTGAACCTGTTTGTGAAAAAGAAGACATACTCAATTTCAAATCTAAAAAAAGATCTAAGCTCTAATTTGAAGATGAATAACCAACATAGGAATGTCCATTAAATAGAAGTACTTATGGAAATTATACTTGGAATATGTTACATACTACAGCAATCTATTATCCAGATGAACCTACATTAGAATAATAATAGAAAATGAGTAATTTTTTTGATGCAATTGCAGAATTTTATGCCTGTAAACATTGTAAAGCTCATTTCTAAAAGGATATTTCGTAAAGTAATCAAAAATATATTAATCTTAATTAGATCCTCCCTAAGTTACATCAAGGAAGGATCTTTCTATTTGGTTATGTTATAGACATAATGATGTAAATTAATTACTTGGTAAACCTCAATTTGATTGTAGTTTTGAAAACCTTGAAAAAAGATGGAGAACAGGATGTAAATGAAATAAAATTAGATGTGTTATTTGTGTTCTAATATATTTGTTATTTTTTATCAATAAATAATACAATTAATTGAATTAATGAATGAATAAAAATTACGAGAAATGATGAAGATCTATACTGTTTCAAAATAGGTAAACAGAAAGGCTGAAAAGAATTTTATCAAATTTTCTAGTTAATATTATAAATTGCATAAGAATGACATGACTCCTGATTTATTGAGTGAAGTCAACTCTCTAAGAACATAAATAAAATCCAATAGAGTAGCATTTTCTAATTAAAACTCTCCTTAAGTAAGTCCTCGTCTTACAGCTAATCCTTTATTTAATTGTAGATTATATATTTAAATTATAATAGTCAAGGAAGAAAGACAGAAAATTAATTCCATCTATTCAGAAGATAGACATTAAGAAATCTATAATCTTTACATAGAAGAAATAAACGAACTCAAATCATGTTACAATATAATTTATTTTTTTAGAACTCAATTAGGCCAATTCTATGATAAAATAATAGCAAAATGATTACGATAAAAAGATACTAGGTAACGTTTATGATTAAATAAAGAATTAAATCTCAAACTAGAATCTGAAAAGGCGAAAGTTAAGGATCTTACTTTACAAGTATCTCAATGAATAAATTAGATCCAAGATTTGAAGTCTAATTCATTATAAAAATAAACTATACCAGTTGTCAATAATAGTTTTGATTAAAGAAGATCCACCTTAAATTTAGAAAAAGAACAAAGTCGAGAATTATTTAAGTCAGAAATTTGTAGAGCTCTAGAGAAATACAATAACAAATAAGATTTGAGTAAAGAAAATAAATGAATACAAGATTTATTAGTTTCAATTTGTGTGTTTATTTAATTATAATTTAATTAACTTTATATAATCTCTATGTATATTTGATATTTAAATTAATGGATCAATAATAAACAGATATTAAGGAATTATTATCACTTTATAATAATGCTATCTAAATTAAAAAAAGAGCTGAAAAGAAATTGATCCGTTTCACTAATTGTCTTTCAGAATTAGATAGAAGAAATTGTGGAACAGATGTTATAGAACAAATTAATTTGGTCAGACAAAAAATTAAAGAAGAAAGAAAAAATTAAGCAGAATAGACTGTTAGAAATTCATATGTCTAATTACAAAATTAAATGGACTAAAGTAGTTTAATGTTGAAACAAAAGCTTTCAGAAAAAGAACTATGTATATCTATTCATATAATTCAAATAAGAACTTGAATCTATGGAAATTGAGTTTAAATGTCAATTGTAGCAACAATAGCAAGTAATTAACAATTTAAATCTATAAATTGAAGAGGTTAAAGATTGTAATTATTAAACTTAATTCAAAAAGATGATCAGGAATAAATTTTAAATTTGACTCAAAAAAATCAATAACTACTTAATCTTATAGAGGATTTAAACAAATAAATAACAGAATTAAAATAAAGTATTCATTAAAATGATATTTTAGTTTTGGAATACTATCAAAACGAAGAATTCAAATCTCAACAAAATAATTTTAGTATTTATATATTAACATTTTTAGATTCTATCAAAGTTTCTTAAAATTCTTAAATGCTTTCAAATATTAAGAAATTTGGGAATAGATATAATAATCAAACCACTGAATCTATGGATCAATGTTAATTTGAAACTTTGGCTTCTGAGGTCAGATATCAAGAAATTGGTGAAAATTTAGATGATGAGATCTTTTTGGGATCCTTTAATTAATATACTGAGACAAAAGGTATTTTTTAATAAATGTAATACAGAACTATAATCTCCTATAAAAGTTTAGGATTAATCATATAATCAAAATTAAATTAATGAATAGAATTTTGTGATTGAAGAATTAAAAGAGCGAATTCAAAGTAATAAAACTCATTTATTTAGATTTACAATAGGAGAAACAAAGGTTAATAGATAGAATGGATGAAAATCAAGAGAATTTTAATAATTTTAAAGAAAAAAATTAATTAAATGAGACAAATTTAAATAAATAAATTAATAATTTAATAGTAGTAAATTAAGGTATAAATAATCTAATATTATTTTAGATCTGATTACTAAAGAGTAAAACCTTGAGGTTTAGATTTTCGAATAAAAGAATGAGATTTAAAAGTTAGAATAACTAATTGAAAATTTAGAAACATCTTAAGAGTCATTAAAATAAAAAGATGAAATGATTTCAAAATTAAATGATGAACAACAATTGACTAAGACTAAATTAAAGTAATTTGAAGAATAAATTGCTTTTATTCGTAAGTTAGAAGGGGAAATTTAACATCGTTAACATTAAATTGTAGAAAAAGAGGAAGAAATTAAAAATTTTAAATAAAGCATTGAAAGTATGAATAATTTATATTTTAAATTAGAATAGTAAATATCGAAATAGACTTTAAATGAGTAGATTTCAAAAATACAAAAATAATTGGATAATTAAATTTAATAAAATTTATAATTGCAAAATGAAAATAAATGTATGAAAGAGTAATTAATTGAATAGGTTTAATTTAAGAGAAAAAGTCGTTAAAAGATGAAATCATTGGAGTTATAAAAGAATAAGAATGTATTTTTAAATGCAATATTATAGAATAAAAGTAAGAATTAACAATGAAAGTATAGATTCTTGAAAGTTAGATTCATGATTTATAACTAGAGTAAGATTAAAAGTTAAGTTAATAAGAAAATTTAAATATGAATGAATCAAATATGACTATATAAGTTTAAGAATTGATGTAATAATTGAGTGATTTGGAAATAAAAAATAAAGTATTAGATTAAGAAAATAATACATAAAAAAAAGAGATTGAAATTTAGAATGAATAAAGAGATAGATTTTAGATTTAAATTGAAGAATTGAATTAAAAACATTAAAGAATTTAATAGGATATGAATATATAAGGAATAGATAAATAGAGAGTGGATGATATATTAGATGATAAAATAAAAGAATTGGAATGTAATGATTAGATAATAATATTTAGTGAGTAGAATATAGAATTAATAATTTTAAGAGGAGATAAATGGATTGAAAAAGAATATAGAAGAATTGAGGAGAATAAATAATAGGAAAGATTTATAAAGAGACGAATAAATAAAATTTTAGAAAGGATTAGAAAATGAAATTAAAAGTAAGATAAATAATTGAGGAATAGTTCTTGAAGTTGAATTGAAGGATTCAAAATAATAATTTTAACAAGAATGTAAAAGAATAGTAGAAAGTTATAAGGAAGAATTAAGATTGATGTAGGAATAGTTAGTAAGAAGTTCTGAGAATATTAAACGATGTTCACCAATTCGAGATATAAAATAGGAAGATAAATATAAGGAATAAATCAATAGATTAAATGATGAACTTAGAATAAACAAATTATAAATTGCTTAATTATCCACTGTAAATAATTAGTTAAAATAACAACAAAAAGATGTAGTGTTGAAATTGTAAAATATATTAAAATTAGTTCCAGGAGGTGATTAAGATTTAAATGATTTGATAAAAATAATTGAAAACAATTTATAAAGTTGTTAAAGCAATAATTGTGCAAAATAATGTTCAAAGAGAACTAGTTTGATAGATACAACAAAGATGTTAATGAATAAAGCAAGAACATCAATAGGTTCGAATAGAGGATCAATATTAATTTAACAAGAGAATGGATATAGAAATAGTTTGAGTATTTAAAACATTCCATTTGGTAGAAAGAGCAATAAAGATTTACAATAGATTTTAGATGATATATCAGATTAGGATATTATTTAATAATGAATTAAGAATGTTTGGTATTGAATTTAATATTGTTTACAACATCATCAGCATTTTTCATCATGATAACTCCAAAGGAAACTTTTAGGTCCTCTACCTGCTGATCTTTTTACAAATTCTGCATCATTAGGAGGTTTCATCTAAAAATATAATAATAATATTATTATTTACTTTTTTTGTAGCACTTGATAACATGGATTAAATTGATAGACATATCGATGATACAGTCAATGCTGCTGACCATTCTAAAATATTATTGCATTTTTAATATACCATCAAATAATATTGATAAACATATAAATCCATTTGAATATATATGTTCATGTTCAGGTGGTTTACCAATAAAGATGACCTATTTTTATAATTATTATTTACTTCAGGTGATTCGATTGGCTAATCTCAATTAAAAAATAGCTAAATAAGAATAAGTACTGCTACATAATCATTTGAAAATTTGAACTGCAATCTAATATATCTTTATCAATTCTTACTCGAATTTCTCTCCTTAATAAAGAGTCCCTTTTGCTCCTTCAAATCCAACTATCCAATGTTTTATATCATTATTTGGCATCTTTACAATGAATTAATCAACATATGTCTTTTGCATCTGTTCTAAGTCTTTTTAAAGTCTCTTTGCCATCCTATTTTACATTTTCTCTTTTAATATATATAAAATTATATTTAATAATAATAATCCTATATATACATATATTTATTTTTATCTAATCATTATTAAATTATTCCTTTTTTATACAATTCTCATTATTATATAATATATTTCTATCCTTATTTCAATTATTTACTTTATTTAATTCTGGAAAAACATTATTTTTTTATTTATAATTAAATGAAATTATAAATATGATGAATATTGATATCTATTTTAATGGATGCAATACCTAAAACAATTAAAAAACTTATAATCATTAGCTATAAGTAAATTTAGTAAAAATATCAACATCTGTTATTTGTTGCTACAACAAATATCAAACAAAAACATAAATTAATTCAAAAAGTTCATTTTAACAATAATCTAAAATTTACTTTTAAGTACTAAAATTGAATGTTTAAATTCATGTTATATATTAAATATTTAATATAAGAATACCTATTTAAAAATATAAATAACAACAACAAAGTTTTAATATTTAGTGTTTTTTTGTTTATCATTTGAATACTTGAAGGTCCATTAGAATATTGTTGATCTAGTTAAAGCACAAAGTTTTTTAATAGATATATTAATTATATTATTTATTAATTCTTTTTTGATATATTAATGAATTCATGAATAACAGTATAAAATATCAGTAATTTAATTTAAATAAAATGAAGAAGTTTCAGTAACTGATTGCTGTATTCTCATAGAAAAATGAAGTTAAACCTCATTAAATAATAGAGTCAAGCCATGTAAATCCAGAAATCAGCTTGAATTAAGTATGGATAAATTTAATTAATGAATATTATGTATTATACGGCATTTTAAATAGCATATCTTATTTTGGTTTCTAATTATAATTATTCGAATTAATTTACAACTAAATGTATAGCTTTTTGACCAACTAACTCATCTTTGATTTCTAACTTAGCTAATAAAACAACTATTGGAATATGTATTAGAATTTACAACAATTTTATTATCCTAATGTTTATGGTTATCCATATGTTAATCAACCTTAAATCTACCCTTAACAATAAGAGCTAATTCCTGTATAATCAGAATAAGGTAAACTCAACTCAACTAATTATAGTGTAATTCAAAGAAGACGCAAGTACAACATAGGGTACAAGAAGATGTCTTTTCGAGACTAAAGATGTTGTGCCTATAGTATCTAGTGAAACACTTGAAAAATATATTCTAATGATTGTCAATGAAGATGATGCTGTGAATCACTTAATTGCTTCGTTAAAAAACAAAAACTAATTTCCTTTGTCAAGTGTCCTTGAAAGTCTTTCTTAAAAGCAGAAACAATAACATAAAAGTAGAGAAGAACTTATAAAGTTTTGTTTAAGAAAAGCTTTGAAGTTCATCTTTAGAAAGGTCCAAGAAGAAAATGATAAATCAAGTATTTATTATGCTTATAATTTCTAAGAGACAAATTTGAAATCTGCTCAAAAAATATTCATTCAAGCAATAGAACAAGAAACTAAGAAACACATTATCTTGCCATTTAGAAAAAATAGCAAGAATAAAACTATGAATTCAGATTTCTTAAAAGAAATTTTTTCATCTCAAATCTTTGTTAGTTATTATGAGCAATTTTTAAGTAATATACAAATATTTATCATAGATTCTTTGGATGAACAAATTCTAAAAGACTCAAAAAAAAAAATTGCTGCTTTATGCAATAAAATACAGAATAAAATTTCAGACGATAAAATTGTATAAAATTTTTTTGAATTTAGTTTTCATTCGATGTTAAAAGATTGCCTTGGTCTCTTTCCAATATTGAAAAAGTTAAAATAACTGCCAAAGAAATATTATTATATTCTAAGAATTAGAATAAATGACATTATGATTTTATTCCTTATTTAAATTATCCATACATGACAATCAATTAAATATTTTTTTGTTCTGAAATACCAGTAATGCACTTTTCTTATTGATAAAATAATGCATCTCTAAGACTTCAGAAATTTAGGGATAATTGCTTCATATATTATACAACAATAATTATGTTTATTGGTGATGTAATTTAAAAACAACTTTTGAGAAAAAGACACTGATTTTAATTATATTATAAAATGATTAAATTATCGATTATTAATGTTTGTAAGAATAAATTATTAGCAAAAATATAGAACAATTTAAAACTCAATAAATCATAGTCACTATGATTATCGTTATCAATTTAATCATTATATTCATCTATTTTGCTTAACTTTATATAATCTAATATTCTAAAAAGCAATGTTGATCAGCCTAATTTTAATTTAATTCTTTTCACATCTAAATTTCAAAAAGTTCCATTCTTATAATTTTTCATTCAGATTAGAGGTCTGGTGTTAAAATCTAATGTTAGTTTGACAATTTTTTTAGAGTTAATTTATTTTTCTAAAACATATTCCTAAAACAAATTCCTTTAATTTAAATAACGATTTGTAATGAATTAAATATAGAACATCTAGAACATTCGCATTAAAAAATATATTATATTTGGTTCCCCAAATACACTGAACTACATGAAAATAAATTACAATCAGCTCCATTTTTTAAATACTTAAAATCATCTATATAATACATTAGAGATTCTAAATATAAGGGTTTAACCTTTTGATAAATAGAAAAAAATCCCATTCAAAAGAATAGTATTTAATTTGAATTTATCTAACAACTTTCTTTTCTTCAATCTTGTGTTTTTGTATCAAATGATTATTCTGATAATCTCACTTTATAAATTTCAACACAATAATTATATACCATTCAAAGGGTACAACATATTAATTTTACAATACTAATGTTAAAAAATCTAAAAAAAACTATTTTTAAAAAAGTTGAACATCTATATTATTGAATTCTAAATAATTTTGATTAGTATTATTCATTTAAGAATCTTCTAAATTTATAATAAAATGATCTTATATGTATAAGCATTAAGTAATAGACTTAAAGATCTCAATTGAGCTGTTATATTTGGAAAAAGGAATAAAAATGATGTCAATCACATATGTATAGATAAAAAAGTTAAGAATTATTAGACATAATAGCTCTTAAGAAATTAAGTTAGAATTGATAAGAATATAACATAAGATGAATCTATAAATTTGATGTAAGTAATATATATAAATATCATTTTTTTAGGTGAACTAATCCAAAATGATTGGCAGATATTAAACCAACTATGTTGTCATATATTTACATATTATCTATGGAGTATTCTTTACGAATTTAATATTATTTTAGATGAGAATCCATTTCTATGATTTCAACATTACCTTCTTGACAAGCTGAAATAATTAGTGAATTGATTAACCAATCAGCATTAGATATAATGTCTTAACATCTAATTCTTTGACAAGTTTATTGTGTTTATCTTGTATCATATAAGTCAATTATACCATTCTCTTGATCAATAGCCATCACATAAGAATTGTCAAATTTATTATAATTGATTTTGCTATATTTTAATGATTATCTTGTTTAGAATGGAAATATTTAATTAAGTCTTACATCAAATCGAAATAATCCACTCTTATTTGTAATCAAGGATCCTACATTACCATCTGCACTAAGACTTAAATCAAAGATATCTTGATTTTGAAAGACTTATGTTTAAAAAAGAGGTTTTTAAGTGTTTATGTCCCATATTGTCAGAATTGAATTAATCGAACCAGATATAATCTTTTAATTATCAAAATTGTCAAAACAAGAAATCACTTCATTTGATTGAAAATTTGCAAAATGATCTATTTTACTCTTAGAATATTTGAATATTTGCAAGTTTTCCCCAGCAATAACTATTAAATCATTAATCAACATTATTTGAATTACGAATTAAGAATCAAGATTGGTTTAAAATCTTTTCTATAAATCATCATCTTTGTTGGATAATACTTTTATTTATATTTATTATACCTAATAATTCTTAGCTGCCCTCTCCATATGTTGTCAATGCTATAATAGTTTCTTATTCTTATTATTTTAAAGAACAACCATATAGTTCTTTATTATGAATAAACATATAAAATTAAAAATACAGTTCATAATTAAATGATAACAATAATAAACTAATAATAAAATCAATAATATTTTATTTCCATTATTTTCTTCTTGAATCAAAATCCTTTATTTTCATTATTTCAAAAAGATCCCTATCATTCTTAATTAGGTATAAAACTATATTACGATTTTTGTTGTTAAAATTGAAGAATCTTAATCTTTTATTAAACAAATTTTTCATTTTATATTATGTTTATTTCATCAAAAAAAATAATCAAACTTTTAAGATTATATATTATTCTCAAAAATAGTTCAATTCATCTTATTACAAGCAACTCCAAAAGTTTTATAAATTCTAATTTTCCTTAAAGATTCTAAATTTTTCATCCATTTTTTAAATCTATCTCATTATAATTACTTTAAATAAATTATACAAATCTCTATTTTTGCAATGCTATTTCATCTTTTAGTCTATTCAGATGATATACTTAATGAATAATTAAAAATACTTACTGAATTTCTTTTA